GGGGAAATTGGGATGGGGGATCCAGGGGGGATAAGAACAGGGGATCCAAGGGGGAATGGGAATGGGGGATCCAAGGGGAGCTCGTCCCAGGATTTCCATGGGGAGCTTGTTCTGGGATATCTGTGGGGAGCTCATCCCGTTCCATCCTGGGGGATCCATGGGAAGGGACCCCAAAGCTCATCCCATTCCATCCCAGGTGTCCTCCTCATCCTCACCAAACATTCCCACTGGGAATCTCCCTCCAGAATCTCCCCCCGGAATCTCCCCCAGGAATCTCCCCCTGGAATCTCCCCCAGGAATCAGCTTCCTCATGGGATTTTCCTCTTTTTTTTTTTGTCTCCCTTTCCCGCCGGCTCCGTTGGGAATTCCCAGGAATGGGAGGGCCCAACATGCCCCCGCCCGGCCCCTCAGGAGTTCCCCCCGGAATGCCGGGACAGCCCCCCGGGGGCCCCCCCAAGCCCTGGCCGGAAGGTGAGACCCGAAATCCTGGGAATTCAGCCCAGCAAGGGATGAGCTGGGAGGGGGTGGGAGCGAAGGGAATTCCCGGTTAAACCCCTGGAATCGGGGCTGGAATTCTGGGAAGGGCGGGTTGGACCTCGGGGTCGGAGCTTTCCGAGGATCCACGTGCTCATTCCAAGGATTGGGGGTGATTTCCCAGCCAAAGGGTTGGAATTTTTTTGGGGAATTGGGGTTGATTTCCCAGCCAAAGGATTGGAGGGTTTTTTTTGGGAATTGGGATTGATTTCCCAGCCAAAAAATTGGAGGGTTTTTTGGGAATTGGGGTTGATTTCCCAGCCAAAGAATTGGAGAGTTTTTTGGGAATTGGGGTTGATTTCCCAGCCCAAGGATTGGAGGTTTTTTTGGGGTTAATTTCCAGCCAAAAAAATGCAGTTTTAGGGGGGAAATTTGGTGGTTTTTAGGGAATTGATGTTTATTTCCAGCCAAATAACTGGAGTTTTGGGGGTAAATTCCAGTCGGATAACTGGTGATTTTTAGGGATTGGGGGGTTAATTTTCCCCTAAACAGCTGATATTTTTTAGGGAATTGGGGGTTACTTTCCAGATGGATAACTGGTATTTTTAGGGAATTTGAGGTTACTTTCCAGCTGGATAACTGGTGTTTTTTAGGGATTTGGGGTTACTTTCCAGCTGCATAACTGGTGTTTTTTAGGGATTTAGGGGTTTAATTTCTACCCAGAGAACTGGTGTTTTTTAGGGATTTGGGGGTTTATTTCTACCCAGATAACTGATGCTTTTAGGAATTTGGGGGTTACTTTCCAGGTGGATAACTGGTATTTTTAGGGAATTTGAGGTTACTTTCCAGGTGGATAACTGGTGTTTTTTAGGGATTGGGAGTTACTTTCCAACTGAATAACTGGTGTTTTTTAGGGATTTAGGGGGTTAATTTCTACCCAGATAACTGGTGTTTTTTAGGGATTTGGGGGTTTATTTCTACCCAGATAATTGGTGTTTTTCAGGGCTTTGGGATTACTTTCCTGCCAGATAACTGGTGTTTTTTAGGGATTGGGAGTTACTTTCCAGCTGCATAACTGGTGTTTTTTAGGGATTTAGTGGGTTAATTTCTACGCAGATAACTGGTGTTTTTCAGGGATTTGGGATTACTTTCCTGCCAGATAACTGATGTTTTTTAGGGAATTGGGGTTACTTTCCAGGTGGATAACTGGTATTTTTTAGGGAATTGGGGGTTACTTTCCAGGTGGATAACTGGTGTTTTTCAGGGATTTGGGATTACTTTCCTGCCAGATAACTGATGTTTTTTAGGGAATTGGGGTTACTTTCCAGGTGGATAACTGGTATTTTTTAGGGAATTGGGGGTTACTTTCCAGGTGGATAAC